TAGCTGAGTTGTTTCTGCAGGATATACCTGTTCACATTCTCACTCCAGATAAAAACAAACTAGAGTTTCCTTGTATGCCTATATTTTTTTGTAATTCTAATTCTTATTTATTGGACTCTAATAAAAATGTGACTTTGTGAATTATACACCAGATTTTGGGAACCACCAGATTTTGTTTTAGCTTGAATTATGTAACCATGCATAAAGTCTGAAAAACACTGCACAACTGTACATACTGCTGAGACATTACATGTACAGGAACAGATTTAAGATACAGTGACTTCTTCCAGCAGACAGTCATGGAGAGACTGAGAACTGGCAAAGTCCTAAATCAATGCAAAGTTGCACATTAGAGCCAGCACAGAGTGGGCAAGATTTTCTGCAGTTCTAGTTCAAAATTACCATCCATACTTAGAAATCAGATAAAAAATCAGAATAAAAAAGGTGAACTTTAAAAACTAAGTGACTATTAGGTGGAATATCTAAACTTTCACCCTATATGCATCACATATTCATACTAATGACAGTATTTGTTAAAAAAAAAAGTTATTCTTCCTCATCATCAACAACATAGTCCTTATACCCTCACATAAACTAATTCTTCAGATATGACATAAAATTTAGTTTGAACAAATCATGGAAATCCAAGAAATCCTCTTTATCTATCCAGGACATTGCTGACACCATTATACTTTTTTATTTATGTCATGTTTGCAAGGACATTTTTATTGCCTTTGACATTATTTGCACACTAAATGATATTTACTACTGGTCTCTTCATTCAAAGCTAAATTGAAGCTTTTTTTGTTGTATGTTCTCTTTTCCAACAGACTATTGCAAAAACATTGAAAATCATATGTGAGGTTTTACATGGTGATCACGATCAAGGACCCCCACGTATTCCTTTCAGCACTTTCCAGTTTCTCTATACTTACATTGCTGAAGTGGATGGAGAGATTTCAGCATCCCATGTCAGCCGAATGCTAAATTACATTGAACAGGAGATGTAAGTATGATCACTCATTTTTGTAGTTTGCTATACTTTAGCCATGAAAATGTAGAAAGAAGATTAAATACAACAGAGGATGAGTGAAGAAGGTTCAAGATACAAAATAAAATTTAGTAATAATAAGTAATAACTAGTATTAAGTAAAAATGGCGAAGCATAAAGAATGGCTAAATCCAACAAGTTAACACTAATTATAGGAAACACAAAGTCTAAAAGGACAGAAGCATAATCATTGCTATTTATTTTATAGCATCAAAGATGCTTCATAACTGACAAAGACAATGACTCTGATTCAAAAATTTACAGTATAAATAATACTTTCTTATTTGGATGCTCAGGAGCATTGCTTTCCAATTTATTAGATAACATTTGTTTGCAACCGTGTTCTCACTGTACTACAGACATAATAAATTACTGTGCCAGTTAGTTTAGTCCCTAGAAAGCTGGTAGTGTAATTAGTGCAAATTTTATAGTCTTCTGGAAGTCAGATGCTGAACAGATATGATACAAAAGAAAAGAAGAGACATGTTTTAGATGCTGATCAGTCTTTACAATGAAATGTAATTGCCATATAATATTTTAAAAACGTCATAGATTTTAGTTGTTTAGTTTTTTAGTTTAGTTTTTTGGGAAGAGTTAGTATTTATGTAAATGAATGAAGAGATGAACAGCCTACTCTATGTACAGAATGCATGAAGAGAAAAGTCACGATGAAGCTTGCAGAAGGTCTAAACCACGTCTTCCTTTCATAATATCAATGGAAAAGTATCCCTCAAGTGTTGGAACAGGACCAAAGAACAAAGCTTGAAGAGGCATTTCAACAGAGCTTAGGAGAAAAAAATCCAATTGAAGCGGGGAAACTTATAATCAGTATTATTTTATAATACTTTATATTGAAAGTATAATTTTAATTAACAGATGTAAATTTTATTCTTCATACAGCATTGGACCAGATGGCCTAATTAAAGTGAATGATTTTACAAAGAATCCTCGTGTCAAGCTGGAGTAAGTGGCACAACTTTTCCAAGACTCTAACGAAGAAGGATGAAAAAACACATACCACAGATATCCCCATTACCAGCAGAGTTCTCAATGTCTTTTTTTTGTGTGTGTCTCTGTGAATAAATGTGCTCAAGTCAACCAGAAAGTATATGTGTGAATTAAGAGAAACCTTGGGTGAAACACAACATTTTCCTGAATCATTGTTCAAAGAGGACATTACTTTTTATGTAGAATGACATTTCAATGTAATTACTATTATGTCAAGGAGATTGTAAGCTAAGTGGCTGTCCTCATCTTCTGCACAAATTGCCATACTTTGTATGAAATCAATCTGACAGAACGAGAAAAAACCTGCAATCAAGTTATTACATCATTTAGCCATATAAAAAAGCTATATTCTCTGAGTACCATTTGTCAACTGCAGATCTACTTGTCAAGGAACGGGTGTGTGCTCTCCTCAAAAAGAGAACCCAGGACATGCACTCCTCTCATCTTGTACTTACGATAGCTCTCTGTGGTCTCTGTTCAATGCATAGTTACCATTCAAATCTTTATTTTGGATAGCTGACAGGATTTTCTGTTATGGAGGTTTCTGCATTTCCCACTTTGCAGCAACTGCCTCCCTCCGTATATTGCAAAGTGAACCTGGTGCCTAACTGGGGATTCCACTCTGTAGAAAACTCTCCAAAAGTGGGTTTTGCAGTTTGGAATATAAGACTGCTTCATGGACTTATATGTCAGGGACTTCTCCTAAATGACTTTGCTACAAGTATCTCAAGTCTCTAATTAGTGCCACAACCAATAGAAGCTACCTGTCAGAAATTACTTACTGAACCTGTCAGCAGAGCCCCAGAATCTATTCATGTCCTTGATATTAATGCCATTCATAATAAACACTTCATTATGGCTACTAATCTTCTCATTTATAAAGCAGAAGAGTGCAAAGAATTCTGCTGTTTTCCACTTACAGTGATCTTCCTATTTTTAATTTTGCAAAGAACAGAAAAATTGAACCAGACTTCAGATTCCTTTGAGAAAACTCTTTTATCTGTTTTGACATGATAAATATCTTCACAACATGTTTTTTGTGCAAGGTCAGCACAGTTTCAGTGTAAATGTTAATGCTGCAATACATAATAATGACACAATTTACATATTCAGAGAGTACAGAACATGCTGAATATTTACATGCACTTGTGCTATTGTACTCTTAATAGTAATGTAACTACATTTTCAGCCTGAGTAAATATAATTGCTTTCAATGCTAAGTCTCTAGAAGATCTATTTAATCAGCTAATAAGAGCAAACTTATGAGGAATACTAAATATGCTAGTCAGATAGAATACCTACCTACCTGGTGTTTAGAAAATAATTCCTCTTTCATCACAGTTCATTAACAAAGTGTACAACCATCACCCTCTCTAAATATGATGGTATATGAATGAAAAACACTCATCACATTACTCACCCAAACACAGAGATGCTCCTGCTCTTGCCTCTGTTTATGGGTAGCCTTCTCATTTCCCCTGGTATATTCTCTTTTCCTAAAAAGAAATTTTAACAAGGTGGATTTTGAGGATTTTTTTTACACTTGTCCAAGCATTGTGGACATACGACTCATAGCAAACTAAATAACTAAATAACTAAGCAAACTAAAAAAAATCAGTGCGCATATAGAAGCATCAAAATAACTGTATGGACACATATCATATTGCAGCACATATATACAGGAGATATAAAACCTTTATCTGTCTAAGAAAGCACCATTTGCTTTGGTTCACCTCAGTTCTGAATATTTGCTGGCCTGTTTCCCCCTGCCATTTATTTGACATGACACCTCTGTCCAATTGCAACACAGCCCTTCCTCACCATCCATATGAAAACTCTCACCAAAATATTCTGCTTATAATGAATATGTATTATTCAAAATGCACGTGAAATAATTCTTAGAACTTTCTCTGCTTTAAAAACACAAAAACATATTTTAGAACAAAACAACAATTTCTTCAAACTTCAAATAAAAAAGACTAGGTCTATAAAAACATGTGATTATATGATTTAAAGCATTACCTAAAGTATGGGCGCAAGGAGTGGAAAGTAAATTATCTATGTTCAAATTCTGCATTTTTCTCCTGGGTGCTCGACTGCATCACCAGAATTCTTTAGATGCACTTTAGTTTCTCTTTAATTTTCTAATGCCAGGAAACTAGCCTCAAAATTTCTTATCAGTACCAGCTAGAGCTCATGTACTCTCCTGCTCTTTCCATTTCCCAGTTTGTTTAAATTAATGTATTGCAATACATTAGTGAAAATATCATATATTGTCACTCACTACCTATACAAAGAGTCTTCTGTTGGTCTCCAAGACTAAGAATTGACTCATTTTGATGACAGTATCTCATGTCAAACGCTGCTGGGTTCTGTGCAGCATTTTTCTCTCTTGTGCAGAAGTACATCATTTGACATCCTACAGTGAGTAAACTGGATTTCACCCTTTGCATGATATTGACCCCTGACTTACACTAGAAGCAGCACCACCAGCAGCTTTTCAAAAATGAACAATACCAGCCTGCACTGCTTAGGACCTGCAGATGCACTGGGCATTCTTTACAACCCATGTAAATACGTGTTTTACAGGGCTGCTAGAGATGATTTCACGCTAGGTAGAAGCAACAGAAAATAGAGCACAAAGCTGTTGGTTGGACCGTATCTAAAAAGTCAATGTTTTACTTTGCCTTCCTACCACCTTGCTTACCATTTGTGCCCCTGAGACTTTGCAGGATGGAGACAGGGCCTATAAGGCAGCTTTGTGAACCTTTCCCTGCCCAGACATCTCGCTTTCCCTTGAGGGTGGATCACCCATCCACAGGGCCCATTTTTCAAACTAAGTTAGGAGAGCACAGAAGCTCCTGCCCGGCAAGGCTGCTGCTTGTCAAAGGTCTACGGTAGCTCAGACAAGTGCCAAGGCTGCTCCCGGTGGTAGGCGGGAATGGAGAGTGAAGCAGAGTCGAGCCTCGAGCGGCCGCGACGCAAAAGCGCGCTGGCCAACGGCGCCAACGGCCGCAAGGTCACGCGCTTCCTCAGCGCCGCACT